GATTGTGGTGGTGGTGGTGGTGGTAGTGGTGGTGGGTTTTGTGGTGGTGGTGGTGGTGATGGTGAGTTGCGGTCGCGGTTGTGGTGGAGGTGGTTGTGATGGAGGTGGTGTGGTGGTATGTTGGTGCTGTTGGTGGTAGTGGTGGTGGTGGTGGTGGTGGTTGGTTTGAGGCGGTGGTGGAGGTGGCGGTAGTGGTGGTGGTGGTGGCGGCGCCGAAGGGGGGGGGGTTGAACCGACCCCCTTTTGGGAGGGATGGGGGGGGGGCCGGGAGGGGGGGAGTTTGGTGGGGAGGGGAGTCTCCCTGGGTTTTCTCGACGGCGCCGAGTGTTGGGGGGGGGGCCACCCCCCGGTTTGAAACGCGCTGCTGAATGTTCCCAAGGCAAGCGCCCATGAAACGCGTTCTCTCGCCGCTAGAGACCCCTTCGCGATTCACTCACACACGAGAGTTCCATTCGAGACTTCCCCCGTATCCTGGCCTGAGGAGCCAAAAATGACGACAATTACAGAATTCGGATGGCCCGTTCGGATTCGAACAGGAAGTGCGGGCCCCGTAGAGAATGGCTCCCGCCTCAGACCTCCTCGCGACAGCTTGGATTCAAACGTGGGGGTGGGAACCCTATAGGGAGGGGCTCCTGTTCAAGATTTCGTCGCGATTCGCTCACAGGCGAGGCTTTAGCTCGAAACTTCCTCCCTATTCAGGCCTCAAAAGTCCAAAAGTGACGACAGTTACGGGTTTGAGGATGGCCGCCTCGGAATAATAACATGAGGCGCGGGTCGCATAATCAGGGTACTCTTGCTCGCAAGTCGCTCACAGATGAGGCTCCCGCTTGAGCCTTTCTCCATATTTCAAGTCATGGGAGCCCGAATGCGACGACAGTTGCAGGTTTGAGGATGACCCCTGAAATAAAAAGCGTGATTCCGACTGCAGGACCCCGCATGATAATATGTTCAGTTTGGTTGGGTATCTCGGCCTAGTCTTTCCTCCGACCCTCTCTTGCCTTCTCCTTTTCCTCCTGCCTCATCCTCCTGCCTCATCCTCCTCCTCCCGCCGTTTCCCCGTCCTCCTTTTCCTCCCCGTTCTTTCCCTCCTCCTCCTCGTCCTTCACCTTCACCTCCTCCTCCTCCTCCTCCTCCTCCTCGTCCCTCTCCATCCCGCCTGTTCTTTTCATGCACCTCCCCTTCCTGCATGCCGATTTTTCTCGGCGCATTCACCGCCACGGCCTGCGTGCGCGCGTTCTCCGATAGCTGGGTCGCGAATCCGTTCGGGCAATCCCGCCGCCCTGGCCGCTGGGGTAACCCAGTGGACCGCTGGGGCGCGGGAGTGGGCTGTCGGGACAACCCCGCGGGCCTCGAGCTGGGCGCCGCCGCGCTCAGGCGGGAAGCAGCGCGAAACCTAGCTCTGCCGCGAACTCCGTCTCTGCCGTGGAGCTCGGAGCCCTCCCCCTCTGTCGAACGTGGAGGCGGGGAACCCATCTGGGAGGGGTTCTTGCAGGCTTCCCCCATAGTCAGGCCTGGGGAGCCCAAGCGCGACGACAGTTACAAGTTTGACGATGGCCACTTGTGCGATTTTAAAAATAAAGAATGCTGTCCCCCTAAGGAAGGGCTCCCCGCCGGAGACTTAATTGCGAGTCGTGCACGTACAGAGCCCCCGCTTGAGACTTCCTCCGCACTCGGGCCGGGGGAGCCCGATTGTGACGACTGGTACAGGTTTGAGGTTGCCCTCTTCTGGGGTTTGAAGCATGAGGCGCGGGCCCCAAAAATAATGGGTTCCCACCTAAAACGCCTTCCGTTTCACTCACACACGAAAGCCCTTGTTGAGTCTCCCTCCATACTCAGGCCTGAAGAACCCAACGATGAAGAAACTTATAGGCTTGTGAATGACCCGCTGGGGCTCCGAACTTGCAGTGCGGGACCCAGAAAAAAGGGGGCTACCGCTCGAACCGCTCTTCGAGGTGAATGCGTGAGTGCGTGAGTGTGTGTTACAGTGTGGGGTGCGTGCGTGAGTACGTCCGAGATGATGACAATTGTGGTGATGATGATGATGGTGATGATCATGGTGTGATGGCGACTGGCCAGATGAACGAGTCATGATTGAGTGAGCGAGGGCGAGTGGGTGAGTGAGTGGTGGTGATGATGTGGATTGCGATGCTGGTTTATGATGATGGTGGTGGTGGGATGGGAATGAAAAGAGGGACGGGGCGGTGGGTGAGGGGTCCCTGTGCGGGGTGTGTGCGCACACAAAACACACCCACGAGTGGCTGTGGGGAAAGAGGTGCGGGCCCCACAGCGAAGGGCTCCCGCCTGAGACTTTTTTTGCGCCTCGCTCACATACGAGACTCCCGCTTGAGACTTCCTCCATATTCGGGCCTGGGAACCCCAAAAGTGACGACTGGTACAGGTTCGAGGATGACCCAAACGGATTTACAACATCAAGTGTGGGCCCCATGAAAAAAAGGGGTGAGATTTCATCCACTGTCAGGCCTGAAGAGCCTCAGAGTGACGACATCTACGACCCGCTGGGGCAAAGAAGAGTGAGGCGCGGGACCCATAGGGAGGGGGTTCCCGCTCAATATGCCCCCGCGATTCTTTCACACACGACACTCCCGATCCAGAGGTTTTGAAGATGACTGCGTGAGTGTGAATTTGGTGAATGTGTGTGTGAGTGACTGCGGCTGTGAGTGTGATGGTGAAGATCAACGACCATGGTGGGATGATGATATGGATGATGATGGTGGGCTGGCGATAGTGAGTGGTTTTATGATGTTGGGCGACGGTGGCGAATGAGTATGTCAGTGTGTGTGTAAGAGTGTTGGTGAGTGCATGAACGCGAGTGATATGATGATGCGGAGGTGGTGATCACGATGTGGTGCCGAGTGAGTGAGTAATTTAGTGGGTGAGTGAATGAATGAGTGGGTTCTGATGATGGTGATGATGATGGTGGTGAAGGTGGTCGATGGTGGTGAGAGGAGGATAAGGGCAGTGGGTGAGTTTTCTGCGAGGGGGATGTGCAGAGAAAGCAAACGCCCCGCTCTGGATGCGGGAAAAAGCATTTGCATGGACAACTTTGCGGGCGGATTTCTCGGGTCGGCGCCTGGGCCCCCCTTGGCGGCGCCTCCAGCGCCGCCCCTGGCGCGATTTGCACGCCGGGGAGGGGGGTCCAGCGCTGGAGGCCTCCTGGAGGCAGTCGGGGAGCCCTCTTGGACCGACTTGGGGGGGCCTCTCGAGGCTCTCTCGGCCTGTCTTGGGGCCTTCTGGGGCCCGAAGAGGTCACGCGACGAGATGCGGGGGAACCCAGGAGGCACGCGCCAAGCCCCAGGGGGCACGCGCCAGGCCCCGCCAAAGTTGGGAATGCGGGGTCCGGACCTCGTAAAGGCTCCCCGGAAGTGGGGAGTGAGGCTCAGAGGATTACAGTCAACCATGGCAGTAAGGGTGGGGCAATTTTTCAAGACTACCCTTACATCATTGCCCCTTCGGCATCCTTCGGCATTCTGCTGCGCTCCGCACGGGAAACGTCAACATGGCGTTCCAAGGCCCCTGCATCCTTACCGCGCATCCTTACTATACTGGTTGACTGTAGGCAACCAACGTGCACTTCGTGCCCTGCGGCACGGTGACGGACATTGTTGGAGGTCCGTGCGGATCTCTCGGGTCAGCGCCGGGCCCAGGCGCGCTCCGCGCGCCAGGGGCGGAGGGTCCAGCGCCGACCCCAGAAATCCGCGCGGACCTCCGAACGTTTTTGACTATCCAGAGGGACCCGATGCAGAGATTGGTACGGGCATCTGACACTGGGATAAAGTGAGAACCACCCGCGGCCACCGAGGTTCACAGCTTGTCTTGCCCTCGGCCCTCCAAGAGCCTGCCCTGCGCCAAGGCAGAGAAACGGCCTGCCCCGCACTCGGTGCCCCCCATGTCTGGGAGGCAAGGATGCCTGCGGTTCAGTCGTTCTTCTGCGTCGGAGTCGGCTGCGTCAGGACGGTTCGGTTTGGTCGGCTGTCATGTCATTGCTGCGTCGGCGCGCCCTTCTGGGTTGCCTGCTGCCTGCCGGTTTTGGTCAGCTTCGGTTTCGTTGTCGGCTCGGTCAGGTTTCAGTTATGTTGTCGTTGTGTGCGGCATTGGCAGGCCACCGACCTTGGCCAGGCCAGTTTCGGGGCAGAATTGCCCGCCCACTGGGCCTAATTAGGAAGCCGTTTTCACCGATCCTGGGCCCCAGATGGGCCTGGCCAGTATCGGTGCAGGTGTATCGTCGGCGTCAGCCTATCTTCTCGCTCCCTCAGCCATCGGTCGCGTCATCCTCGCCGCCAAGCCGCCTCAAGGGGGGGGGGAATAGGAGGAAGAGGAAGAGCAGGAGCAGGGTGACGACGGGCGAGGCGGCCATAGAGCACTTGATCCGTGCACGGGAGCTTGAGCTGCAGATGTGGAGTGCTCGCTTATCAGAGCGGACCATGCGAGCGTGACCACGGCCATTCGTGCGTCAGCGCGCCCACTTGGACAAGGAGGCGGCCTTCATTCGCGCTCGGGAGCAGGAGCTGCGGGACTGGAGCGCTCGTATTTCTGAGCGGGCCGAGGGCTCGTCACCACGGCCATTCATGCATCGGCTCGGGTAGGCGAGGTGATCCACTTGTTTTGCAGTCCGACCACATGTGTGGCACGGTCCCTGAACTAGGGCGATGTTGGTAGTTTGTTCAGAAGCTTGAGTGAGGCACTCAACACAAGCTCCAAGTAGCAGTTCTTCTTTTGCATTGATCGACACCACTGCTCTTGGGAGTGGTAAGGCCTCCCGTCCAGAAGGTCTCCTGCTTAACCCGTGAAGAACGGGCGATGGGCACGGGGGTCTTGGGGCCGAGGAGGTTTGGGATGAACCGAAGAAGCCCGTGGTCGCAGCCTAAGAACTGCCGCGCAGTTTATTGCAGCACCGTGCTCGGTCATGGGCTGAGCATGAGGCAGCGAGAGCCTCTGACAACGACGTCGTTGGAAGCAGCGAAGCGCGCGTGCGAGCGCAGGCGCCCCCCGCCATCATCTCGCTCTACCCAGGCCAGGGCTTCGAGGCGCACGTGGACGCGGTGATCGCGGGAGGCCCCCTGCACGAGTTCAAGGCTGCACCTCCTCTTCGCCGAGTCCTCGATGATCGGGGACCGAATGTCAGCGAATTTGGTTTCTTGTCGATCTTCCTTATTGTCGTTGCCTCCAGGATGCATCTTCGTCGCCACAGCCGGATCCGCCTTTTAATTTGCCAGACGCACACCTTTGGAGGGGTCCCATGGGCGATTTGAGGGGAGGAGAAGGAGGAAGAAGAGGATGCGGGCTCCTTCTTCCCCTTCCTCCTCGCGCGACTGTCGCATCCATGGGATATGCTACTCGCACGGCAGTTGCGAGCTCGATTTGCGCCTTGTATGACGACCGAACCGGATCGAATTTCCTCCTCGCCCTCCCTCTTTCCTCTTCCTCTTTGCTCCTCGTCCCTCCTGATTTTTGTCCAAAGAAGAGCCAGGACAGAATTATTGTTTTGCATCACCTTATTGTTTCACCCTTGCGCAATGCAGGGTTTGCGAAGACATTCAACACCCATGAATGGTCCATACGCGGCCAGGCGCAAGCCATTGACCGTAGTCGCGGCGCGCATTGGGGTTTGGTTGTTGTTTTGATTTTCGGTCAGTTCGGTCGTTGCTCCCACCCCCCCTGAATAATATACAGAAAGCAGAAATCCTGACGGCTGGTTCCAGGCAGGCTTAGGATGAGGGTTATTCCCCCCAGAGCGTTCCGCAATATTATCGGAGCGTTCTAGAGCGTTTTGGAACGGACGCGGCTCCCGACACATCCTCCAGACCGCGGGATCTCAGATATTCCCATTGTATCCATCCGAATGTATGTTCATTCTGCCTTCGTCGTACAAAGAAGACGCTGAACGAAGAACCACATTGGTCCAAGAGGAGCTATGGTTGTCGGGCCGTTCCTTAGATCGAGGTCGGGGAATTTCTTCGTGGCCCTCAAGAGTTGACCCCTGGGGAACGGGTCGAGGACCCCCCGGCTCTGGGGGAGAGAACCCCCGATGGCGGAGGAAGAGTGACGAAGGGATGAGATCTATAGGCTTACGCCACATCCGCCGACCCCTTGATCGTCTTGGTGATGTCGTGTTGCTGTCCTGGGGCGTACTTGTGTTGTCTTGTTTCTTTGGGTGGGCGGGCTCGAGGCTCTTCGGGGCCATCCCCGAGCGAGTAGCGCAGAAAAAGCGCAACGCAGCAAGGGAGAGGCGTTGCCGGAAGTGTGCCGTTGAGCGAGAAAAGGCGGGAATGCGAGCCAACTGCGAAGCGGCAAATTTGAAGCGGAATGCCGACGCAGAAGCGAAGCCGCTGACGTGCGCGGCGTGCGGGGAAGCTTTCACGGGCGCGAGACATTTGAAGAAGGAACAAGTGTTTCATCATCGAAAGCAGGAAGCACGCGGAGCGGTGTGCGGAAGGTGTGACAAGCGGGGCATCATTGCGAAAGGCGTCGCCGATGAGCCGAATCGCTCGGAGCGGCTGCTGACTTGCGCAGCGTGCGCGAAGGAATTCGCCCGGCAACAGCACATCAGCGACGAACAGGAAAGTAAACCGTTCACGAGGAAGAGTAGAGTTATTTGCGCAGCGTGCATTGCCGACGGGCTTGCGGCGCGCAGCTGGCAGAGCTATCGACGCAGCGGCAAGTGTCAGAAGACATGTCCGAAGTCAGCTTTCTCCGTGGGCAGTAGCCATGTCGCACACGACGAAAAGAAGGGCACCCTGAAAGTCGAGGCATGCAAGTGAATGCAGCGGCAAGTGTCATAATACATTGTCCAAATCAGCTTTCTCCGTGGACAGTCGCAACATCGCCTTGACAAGACGGGCGCCCTGAAATGCAAGGCATACGAATGATACCCATGCGAGCGATTGTACCGCGATCCGTAGAAGTACGACCGACGGGGGTGAAAACGAGAGGGGGGACGAAGCCGATGAATGAGGAAAGCCAAACAGGAGAAAGCGAAGGAGGAGGGGGAGGATGGGGGAGAGACGGAGGAGGTTCATCGGAGGAGGACGAGGAGGAGAAGGAGGAGTGACGATTTGGGGAAAATGCTTGTCAACGCCCGCGCCCATAGACGGCAGGCGACGGTCCAAAAAGTGGACGAGTCGTTGTCGAATGGGACGCGGCGCATCCCGCCACCTTGCGGTATACAGGTAGGCGGCCACACGGATGGTGAAGAAGATCTCGTGCGAAGCCTGACGGGGTCGTCTTGCAGGTAGTTTTGGGGCCTCTTGGGGAATTCCTCGTGGCATCCTGGAGGCCTCGGGGGAGTTTCTGGGAGGTCCCGCAGGCCTTTTTGGGGCGTTCTTGGGGCAGGCTGGGAGCATCTTGGAGCCGAAGGCTCGAAAAGGTGCCCTATGGACTCCGTGTTGGAGCCGTCTGGGGGCCCTCCTGGGCTATCTTGGAGGCTTCGTGGGCTGCTGTTGACCCCCAGCGACCCTGCTTTCGGGCCCCTTTGGCCGTCTGGGAGCGATGTTGAAGGTTTCTTCGCCTGTTGTGGACGTTGTGATTGCCGAGTAGGCAAGCACGTGGAGAAATGCGTTGTTTCCCCAGGGAATGAGCCGATTTCTGTATCTTGCGACTTTTTCCGGGCGCGCCAGAAAGTTGTTTTTGGGGGCGTTTTGGCAGCTTCGGAGACCGCCTGGAGGCCATCGTGGGCGCTCGGGGGCGCTATGTATGCGAATCGCGGTTTCGAGGACCGTCCGGGGAGCGTTTTGGTATCCTGTTTGGCGAGTTGTGGTACCTACTTGACGAGTTTAGGCGCCCTGTGGCGCGTTCGGCCCGGGGTCCGGCCGGGGGTCGAATTGCCAGTTTGGGGTCTTTGGGGGGGGATTATGGGGCGGAAGAGCTTCACGCGCCTAGAGACCCACAAGGGGTCGGCGGATTTGTACCGAAGGTTAACATAACATATCGAAAGTCCGCGTGGACAACCGAAATATTGTGTGTGCGTGCGTGCCGAAGTGTCTTATTCTAGCGAAGGTTTTGCAGCGGCCATCGGAGGATCTCGGTGGTGTGGAAATCGTCAACGTCTCCAGAAATCGCCAGATAATTCTGGAGGGGAAAAGGGGAGAGAAGGATGAGCATGTCCACGCGGTTGTTGTTGCATTGTTATGTTCGGTCGTATTTCCTTATGATGTTCCGACCACATTGTCCAAGTATGACAAACCGAGTTGATGTTGTTCGTTCTCATTGCCCGCGTATCTCTCAACTTGTAGATCCCCATGCCTTTGATACCCGCCTTCCTTGTCTTGGATCGCGCCCCCTTTCGGGGTGTATTGTCCTTGACTGCCACGTGTAGTCAGCGCGGCCTCTGAAGCATGAGGAGGTGGACGAGGAGGGAAAAAGGAGAAGGGAGAGAGCGAGGAAAGGAGGAGGACACGATAACGGAAGGTTTTTGCTTGAGGATGGGAGGAGGATAGAGGGCGAAACATATTTTGCACGAGAGGTGAAAGAGAGGCTCCATAATTGCGGCAAGTGGGCCCTGATTGGCGGACTGGCCCTAACGAGCGTGTGTGGCGGGCGGCGCCTGACTGGCGCGTCGGGCGGGTGAGGCTTCAACGCGGACCGGCCTCCAAGCATGCGAGAGGCCGGACTCTGACGGGCATGTCGGGCGGGCGGGCCCTGAGGAGCGGGTCGGGCGAACGGACCCCAACGGGTGGGTCGAGCGGGCGGACCCTAACAGCGGGTCAGGCGGGACATTGAATACGTCGGGCTGGCTTCCCAGCAGGCGACCGAAGGGACCCGAACGAGCGGATCGGGCGGGCGGGTCGGTCGGGCGGGGCATTGACGCGAGTTTCGTAAGATGTTTTCCAGGCGAGAGCACGAGTCCTGAGTAAATTGTGAGGAGGTCTCGCGCGAGAGCGCGACTCCTGGACATAGATAGCACAACGCTTTTCTGTAGATTGGAAGGAAGTCCATGATGGAGTTACGATTCTAAGTAAATTGCGACAACGTGTCAAGCGAGAGCGCCATTCTGAATGATTTGCCAGGAAGTATCAAGCGGGAGCAGTTGAACTCTCATTCTTGACGAATAGGTACTCCTGCTCAAGGTGGGCTCTTGGGCCCCGAACTACAACAACAACAACTGCTCTCGCCTGACAGGTCCTCACACGTTATTCCGAAAACGAGTTCTCGCGGAGGATGCCGTCACAATGTACGCAGGAATTGCGTTCTCCCGTCGGACCTAGCAATTTATTCAGACGCCGCGCCCTCGACTGTCAGGAATCGTGCTGTCGCTTTGTCCTTCCTCAAGGTTTATTTGGGAATATCGCTGTCTTTCGACACTTCCTCGCGATACATGCAGGACTCTTCAGCAACCCGCCCTCTCGACCAGGCCGCTTGGGCCCGCCTTCCGACCCGCCCGCTAGGGTCTGCCCGCACCGATCTGCCCGTCTAGTTCTGCCACGTGTTTTCTGTTCCTAGCCCCCCTCTTGCTATGTTCTCTCGTGCTCCATCCTGCTCCCTTTCCCTGGTTTAGGGGCTTCGCTAAATGCACGTGGCAGGCAACGAAGATATGCCCCAAAGGGGGCACAATCGAAGACGAAGAGGGCGGGTAGTACCGAGGGTTCGGGATATACGTGTTGAGTGGCACGCGAGCAGATAAGAGCGAACAGTGTTGAAATGATTGTTGTCGTTGTCGTTGTCGTTGTTGTTGTTGTTGTTGTTGTTGTTGCTGCTGCTGCTGCTGCTGCTGTTGCTGCTGCTGTTGTTGTTGAACATTATTAATTCTAAAGAATAATTATTGTTGGGACCCCTGGTGCACGGCCCCCCTGCGCCGCCTAGGCCGCAGCTACATTTTCATCATTTTCGTGAGGAAGCCTCAGGTAATACGATGTCATCAAGATCCGGTTGTTTTGTTGTAATCCGTTTTCCCTTGCAAAAAAAAACACTATAAAATGACATTTCTTGTTCTAATATAATCAAATTTCAAGAATCCCTTGCAAAAAATAAGGTAAAGTGGACATTCGCGCGCGCAAGACGAAATCCTTCCAAAAGCTTAGTGTTCGGAGCGATTTTAACATAAAAACATCAAAAAACCAATGGTTTTTCAACAAAAAAATGTCAAAATCTCATCCCGCGCGCTCTTGCGGATTCGTAGGAAAACCAACACTTTTTAAACATTTCTGTCAAACGGGCTTTTGCGAGCAACTTTTTCGAACTTCTGCGACAACGGTTGCGCACCTGCCAGGGCCATCATCCCTGTCAAATAATACCATGCGGGACACATTCGTTTTTTCTTCGCGCGCGCACGCCGAAATCTCCAAAAACCATTGGGCTTCTTAAGAATTTTAGCACCGCGCATCATAAAATCACACGAATCGCACCGTAGGTCCTCGAAAAACACCTGCACGACTTTTCAAAATTTCTACCCGCGCGCGCTATATCATGTGTCTCATGTGTATCATGTACCATATGCATCATATGCAACAGATGTTCTGTGGAAGGCTTAACAACTTCTGTGGGTTAACAAGGCTTAACAACTTCTGTGGGTGTACGAACGTAGGCTTAACAATTTCTGTGGGTGTGTACTCCACGCCAGTGTAGTAGCCACGGTCGTCCGCAGGCCACGAAGTGAAGTGTCCGAACGTCATAGGGCGGGAAGCTGGGTGTGGGTGGTGGCGAAGAGTCGTGTGGATATTTGGTAGAGCTTGCACTGCCCCCCCACAAAGTGGGGGTATTGGCTGGCGTCGCATGAAAACCCTGGCACTGGTGAGAACACTGAGCGTTCGGGTAAAGTGATTGTTGTTGTTGTTGTTGTTGTTGTTGTTGTTGTTGTTGTTGTTGTTGTTGAACATTATTTATTCTAAAGAATAATTATTGTTGGGCCCCCTGGTGCGCGCCCCCCCTGCGCCGCCTAGGCCGCAGCTACATTTTCATCACTTTCGTGAGGAAGCCTCAGAAAAGAGGGTGTGTACAGGATCCGGTTGTTTTGTTGTAATCCGCTTTCCCTTGCAAAAAACAATAGAAAATGACATTTCTTGTTCTAATATAATCAAATTTCAAGAATCCCTTGCAAAAAATAAGGTAAAGTGGACATTCGCGCGCGCAAGACGAAATCCTTCCAAAACCTTAGTGTTCGGAGCGATTTTAACATAAAAACATCAAAAAACCAATGGTTTTTCAACAAAAAAATGTCAAAATCTCATCCCGCGCGCTCTTGCGGATTCGTAGGAAACCCAACACTTTTTAAACATTTCTGTCAAACGGGCTTTTGCGAGCAACTTTTTCGAACTTCTGCGACAACGGTTGCGCACCTGCCAGGGCCATCATCCCTGTCAAATAATACCATGCGGGACACATTCGTTTTTTCTTCGCGCGCGCACGCCGAAATCTCCAAAAACCATTGGGCTTCTTAAGAATTTTAGCACCGCGCATCATAAAATCACACGAATCCCACATCCCTCAGGAATTTGCCCTAAAGATGTGATCAACTATCTTGTGAGTACGTATCATGTGTATCATGTGTATCATGTACCATATGCATCATATGCAACAGATGTTTTGTGGAAGGCTTAACAACTTCTGTGGGTTAACAAGGCTTAACAACTTCTGTGGGTGTACGAACGTAGGCTTAACAACTTCTGTGGGTGTGTACTCCACGCCAGTGTAGTAGCCACGGTCGTCCGCAGGCCACGAAGTGAAGTGTCCGAACGTCATAGGGCGGGAAGCTGGGTGTGGGTGGTGGCGAAGAGTCGTGTGGATATTTGGTAGAGCTTGCACTGCCCCCCCACAAAGTGGGGGTATTGGCTGGCGTCGCATGAAAACCCTGGCACTGGTGAGAACACTGAGCGTTCGGGTAAAGTGATTGTTGTTGTTGTTGTTGGTGTTGTTGTTGTTGTTGTTGTTGTCATTGTTGTTGTTGTTGCTGCTGCTGCTGTTGTTGTTGTTGCTGTTGTAGCCTGGGGTTCACGCAACCCAGTGTGAGCTTCAAGAGTTTCCCTGGCTTGGGAGCCTTTTGGAACGTCTTGGAGGAGCTTCGGAAGCTCGAAAAGGCGAGAGCCCAACAACTACGTTAACAGATAAGGAACATACATGGTTGTTGCTTCTCGGGTCCCTCATGGGGGCCTCTTTTGGCCTTCGTGGGGCCTCCTGAGCCCTCTTGGGGTGGAAGGCTCGAATTGACGGTTCGTGTTCACCCTCTTGGGGCCGTTTTGGGCCCCTTTGGACATTCTTGGGCGTTTTTTTTGCCCTGGAACCGTCTTGGGGCCCTCTTGGGGGCAGCTTGGGCAGTCGTGAGGCAGTCATGGTGACCTATTGGGTCGTTTTGGGACGTCGGGAGCTCGAAAAGGCGGCAACCCGAAAACATTGGAACATGTTTTTTGGAAAGTTGTTGACGCTTCGCGAATCCCCACCAGCCCATCCAGAAACGATGCCCAGAGGAATTGCCTGGATCAGGGAAGTGGGCAGCACACAGGGGAAGCCATTATGAGACACCTTGGGATATCTTGAGCCATCTTGGAGGTCATCGTGGGCTTTCCCAGGCGTTCTTGGAGTCATCTTAATCAGTGCTCCCCCCAAGAGGCCAACATGTGGCTAAAACCTTCGTGAAATCAATGATGTGGCATTCTCGCCGAGGCCTCTTGGAGCATCTTGTGTGCATCTGGGGGGTCTCCTGGGGCCTCTTGGGGGTCTCTTGGGGGCCTCCTGGGGGCCTCTTGGGGGCCTCTTGGGGCCATCTTGGGGCCATCTTGGGACCTCTTGGGGCCTCCTGGGCACTTCTCGGGCCCATCTTGGAGGAGATCGATCAAACAAGAGGGGGGCGTGCATTAGATATAGTGCGAAGGGCAAGTGAGGCGCCTTGGGCTGGGCGAGCGCGAGTCAAGGCACTCGTGGCCATTTTGGCTCAGCTCGAGCGCTCGCTGCGCCAAGTCCCCTCGGTCCACCCTGGGCCAGGTTTCTCTTTCCATACCCACATCGCCGATCTCTTCACATGGAGTTCGCAGGCTTCGCTGCCATGGGCACACCTGCTGGGGGCGCGGCTGAGGCCGGGCTCGCACCCGGGCTGGGGTCGGCCCCTGGAACGGGGTCTGCGATGCCCGGCACGCCCAGCCTCGGGCCGCGGGCCGCCCCCTCCGCGTTCACGGGGCTGCTACTTGCAACCACCTTGGACTCCTTTGGGTTCGGAGGTCCCCTCGGCGAGGCACTGGTGGCCGCCGTCGGCGGCGACGAGACCACCGCAGTCGCAGACTACGCGTCGATGCCCGAGGGCGGCCTAGTCCAGGCCCTCGAGACGCTCGCGGTGGAAGGCGCCCCCGTGACGGGCGTTGGCCGGGGGCGACCCGTGCGCGCCATCCGCGCGGTGTTCGACGTTGCGAAGCTGCCGATGCCGAGTCTGGGCGCCGCGCTGCCGGTGGCCCCGCCTTCCCGGCCGGCCGCTCCTCCGACGGAGCCGTCGACGCCGGCCGTGGGGGACAAGAGGCGCGTGGCGGACTTCCTCGACCAGGGCGGCGAGGGGTCTTTCAGCATCCTCAGCAAGGAGGCGATCACGGAGGCGCGCCAGCGGTACATCCAGGTCACAGGTGGGCCGCCGCCTACGGCCGCACGGCCAACGGAGGAACAGTTGTCGGGCATCTCGGCGAAGATCGGCAAGTCCGCGCCGTACGTCGACTTCGCCGCGTTCGGGCCGCATGGCCGCCGGGCGGCTAAAGCCCGCAAGTTCGCGGCCCAAGCGTTCGTCGACGGCGAGCTGGTGACGCGGATGCTGACGGGCCCCTCGAACTTCGAGGCCTGGCGGGCGCGCTGGCTCCTCTTCAGGTCGCGCGTCATCGCCCTGGGCGCGGCGCCCCCTTCGGCGCTCGACGAGTATGAGGAGGGCATCCGCCAGCTTTCACTCCTCTACCCCGACTACTGGGGCGTCATCCTGAGGGCCGACGACACGGTGCGGTCTGAGTTGTGGGACGCCCACATGGAGGAGCACCTGGCGATGGGGGGGCCCGCGGACCAGGCGTGGGCGCGCGTCATCAGCAGGACCGCGTTTGGAGGCGAAGACACGAAGATGGCCCACTGGTGGTGGATGCACGTCACCGCCCCGTGCCTGCCGCGCGGCCACGCGGAGGGGCGCCAGTCGGCAGGCGCTCTGGTCGACCGGTTGGAGGGCGCGCCGTCGGCCGCGTGGCCCGACGCTTCGGCGGCCCCGCCCCGCCCGCAGCAGCGCGGAGGCGGGCGCGGGCGCGGCGGACAGCGACAGGGCGGCGCCCAGCAGCCGCCGCAGCAGCCGCAGCCGAGGCCAGCTGGGCCCACGAAGCCCGCCGGGGGAGGCCGCGGCGGCCAGGGCTTCGCTCCAGACAAGGCCTCGGAGATCTGCAACCTGTGGAACGACAAGGCCGAGGACTGCCGCACGCCTTGCCGGCGGGGGCGCAGGCGCGCTTGCCGCGTGTGCCAGGGCCCCCACCGCGCGATCCATCACGAGTGAGGGGGGGCGCGGACCCGGGGCCGGGGGCTCGTCGCCCCGGGCCCGAGTGCTCCCCTCGAGGCGCCCCTCGCTGGTGCGCCGCGATCGCCCTCGCCCGCGTCGGACTGGCCGGCGGCCGACCCCCCTGGGGAGGCAGCAATGGAGCTGCTCGCCCGGACAGCGGACGGTCGGGTGCGCCGCCACGTCCTGCGCGGTGCCACCGCTGCGTCAGACGCGCGCGGAGAATTCCGCATGCCGCGCGGGGTTGAGGAAACCGGGACCCTTTGGCGGGCGTGGCCAGCCCTGCGGTCTGCGATGGCCCCCACTGCGAAGATCCTCGCGGACCATCGTGGCCAGAGCCCCGAGTTGCGCGGGCTCGCAGACGCGTGCGGCGCAGCGCCCGCGCGCCCCCAGCCGAGCGTGGACAGCCTGCATCGCGCCCGCCAGGCGGTCGCAGAGCACCTGCACCTGAGCCTCGGCACGGACGCGGCAGAGAGGCACCGTGCAGCGTCGACCTGGCGCGCGGAGCTGGTGCGCGCCGCGCAGGCGCGGGCTGGGGGGCCCGACGATGCCCTCGCAGGCTGGCTGGCCGAAGGGGCGCCGATGTGCATCAAGCGAAGGATCGAGCCCGGGGGGATTCCCCTCGGCTGCCCCCTCCGAGGCGTCGCTGACCGTGGAGGAGCTGCTCGGCCGAGCGGAGCTCGCGAACCACCCGTCCTTCCTTGACCTCCACGGCCAGGACAGTCCGCCGGGAGTCGAGCAGGTCCAGGTGCTCGTGGATAAGGTCTTCGGGGTTCTCTTCGAGAACAGGGCCGCGGCCGAGGCCCAGTCCGGGGCGCCGGTGTCCCCAACGCCACTCGGCAACATCGCGACCACGAAGCCAGACGGCAGGGCGAAGCACCGCGTCATCCAGGACTTGAAGGCGAACTCTGTCAACGAGGCGGTGGCCCTCACCGAGCGCCAGGTCTCACCCGCGTCGACGAGTCGCCGTTCAACTGTGCGCACGTAGGCCTGAAATTCTGCAGGAACATGCTGGCGCTTTACCCCCAGGAAGCCGCCGATGGGGGACTTCGTCGCGCGGCGCGCCCTCGGGTTCGGCGGCAAACCTAACCCCGTCGCATTCGGCCGGGTTGCCTTTTTCGCGGCGCGGACGGCGCAAGCATTCCTAGAGGTTCTTTGTCATCAAAATTAGATGACATACTTATGTTGTCCAAACGGTTGGTTTACATAAAATGCGTTTGGTAACGTCATCTAAAAAGTTAACGCAGGCACATGCGTATGCGATACGTCATACATTGCGTGTTGTATGTTATCTCTTTGTGATATATGTGACGCGTAGGATATCAGATGCGGTGCGAGCATGGTGTCGAGACACATGGTACGAGAAAAGGGTGTCAGATGTAATCCCGATACCCAACGCGCGCTGTTTCGCGTCCGCAAGGTTGTTGAAGCGTTATCATGGCATGTCCTCTTGGACATGTGCGTTCCAGGGTAAAGCACACGGCACGTCGTGCGCCGCATGGTAAAACAACTCGATTACTCACGTTCGTTGAAACCTATAGATTCCAGCTGGACGCGCGGATTGAAACATGGGACGCAGTTCGTTAGAGAAACGGGCACTGCGTTTAAAGCTAAAACAACACGGTTAATATATAATGTTGAGAATTGGGGAAATGGGGGAGGAGGGGGCGTCCCCCTCCAGAGTCCCATGATCGTCGCGACGTAGCGGGGCTGGCAGGTGCTCCGCCCAAAGCCAGCCGAGAGGGTGGCGGATCCGTTACTGTTTCAGGCTCTCTATCCTTCCTCCTGCTCCCTCTCCCTTCCTCTTCTTCCTCCCTCCCCCTTCTTATTCCCTGTCTTCCCACTTCCATCTCTCTCTCTCTCTCTCTCTCTCTCTCTCATCTCTTCCTCATTCTCTCGTCTTCTCATCTCTCTTCTCTTCCTCTCTCTCTCTCTCTCTCTCTCTCTCTCTCTCTCTCTCCTCTTCTCTCCTTTCTCCGCCCCCCCCGCCCCTCCTCTGCCCCCCCCCCCCCCCCCCGCCCCCCCCCCCCCCCCCACACACACCACCCCACGCCGCACACACCCATTCACACCCACACACACACACACACGCACACACACACACACACGACACACACACACACACACACACACACACACAACACACACAACAGCACACACACACACACCACACACACGCACACACACACCACCCCACTAAAGCCAACCAAACCGGGGGGGGGGGACAGGGGAACCCGAGCTCACCGCGTTGGTTCGAGCTGTTTTCAGATATGGTGGAGGAGGCCCCCAAACGAAAGCCTCCAGCTCGCGTCGCGGGCTGCAAAGATGCTGACGGGCTCGCGTGTTTGCTCGAACCGTATATTTCCAAGCCCGAGTGGGTCGAATACACGACCGACTTGACCAAGGGTGCACTCAACACGTCGGTGCTCTCCCTCACTCACCGCCCCCCTCCTCCTCCTCCTCCTCCTCCTCCTCCTCCTCCTCCTCCTCCTCCTCCTCCTCCCCCTCCTCTTCCTCCTCTTCCTCCTCCCCCTCCTGTTGCTGATGCTGCCCATCCCCCCTCCTCGCCAGCGTCCTCATCGCCCTCTCACCCTCCTCGCATGCTCGTCCGTATCCCGTCCTTCTCACTCCTCCTCCTCTTCATCCCCCATTTCCCTGCTCTTCATCGCCCTCCATAGCCTCTCTCTCTCTCTCTCTCTCTCTTTCTCTCTCTCTTTTGTTTCTCTACTCCTCTCTCTCTCCTCTCCTCTCTCTCTCTCTCTCCTTCTCTCTCAGCTCTCTCTCTCTCCTCTCACTCCTCCTCCACTCCTCCTCTACTCTCATTTCAGTCCCGCGCTCCTTCTCTCCCTCCCCCTCTCGGCCCCTCCTCCATCGTCGCCTGCCCACAATCCTCAAATTTCAACATTCCCACCCTCTCTCTCTCTCTCTCTCTCCTCTCTCCCTCTCTCCTCCTCTCTCTCTCGGTCTCTGTGGGGTCTCTCTCTCCGCGTCCGTCTCTCCGCATCTGGAGCTCTACCTCCTTCTCTCGTCTGTCGCTCGGGTCTGCTCTCTCTCTCTCCTCTCGGTCTCTCTCTCTCTCCTCTCTCTCTCTCTCTCTCTCTCTCTCATCTCTCTCTCTCCTCTCTCTCTCTCTCTCTCTCTCTCTCTCTTTCTCCTCGTGCTCCTCTTGCTCGCCGCCCCCCCCCCTCTCTCTTCCTCGCCCCCATCCTTTTCCCCTCCGCCCTCCGCGGTGCTGGAGGAGAACCTCGACCTGCTGAGGACCGTCCGCCGCTTCGCCCCGCCCGGCACCACCCCCAGCGCAGCGAAGAGCGCGTTCGAGAAGATCGGTCGAGAGAACGAGTCGAAGCAGGGCTGGAATCTGAGTCGCGAGCTCGATGGTTAGAGTGAGGATTCCAGCAGAATGCTAAGCTGCATGATGACGCACGCGGGGAGTGCACTGACGAGGACTGGGCGCGCATCTCAAAGGGGCGAGGAGGATGAGGCGGGGGGGCGCGGGGGCGCGTCGAGGAGCGGGGGAGGAGGGGGGGGGCAAGTGGAAGGGGGGGGGGGCGGGGGTAGTGGGGGAGGGCGCGGGGGAGGTTAGAGGACGCCGGGGGTTAGGGGTAGGTGGGTGTGGGGGGTGGGGGGGGTGGGAGGGTGGGGGGGGGGGGGGGGGGGGGGGGGGGGGGGGGGGGGGGGGGGGGGGGTGGATCGAGGGAGGAAGCCGAGCGAGCGTAAGGATGGAGGGAGGAAACGTAGGAGGAGGAGGAGGAGAAAGAGGAGGAGAAAGAGGAGAAGGAGGAGGAGGATGGGCGGCAATGAAGCACCGAGAGGACGCAGCGCCCGAAGCGGGCGAAGCCCTTCGCCACCGAGGTCGCAGAGGGCGAGGAGGCGGCGCTGCAGGATGAGGAGGAGGAGGAGGCGGCCGAGCTGGGCGAGCAAGCAGCCGACGAGACCGAGGAGAAAGCGCCGACGAAGGCCAAGTCGAAGGCCAAAGCGAAGGCGATGCAGGGCGCGGGGCCCCCTCCTTGAGCCCCCTTCCTTCCTCATCATTTGCCTCCTCCTCCTCCTCCTCCTCCTTCTCCTCCCCCTCCGCCCCCTCCTCCTCCTCCTCGAGGCTGCCCGCCCCTAAATAATCAACATTCACCTTGTCATCTTCCTCGGCCGCTGCCAGCCGGATCTCCCTCGTCTGCGCCCTCGTGAACCTCCCCATCTCCCCCCCCCTCCTTCCCCGTGTCCTCCAGCTCGCTGCCCCGATGTTCCACCTGCCATTTCTGCCGAATCCGTTCGCCAGGCGCGCGTCAGATGTGAGTTTCATGCGATTTAGATGCGGTTTAGATGCGTCTAAATCGCGTCTAAGTCGCACCAGCTGCGTGCCTGGCGGATAGGATTCTGCAGAGACGACGGGTGGAACGTCGACGCGGGCGCTCCGACGCGCGTTCCGCCGAGGACATCGGCCTGGCCATCGAGCACCAGACAGAGAACAACGCATTCGGCTACAGCCCCGAGACAAAGGCGATGCTGGGACCAACTATTCAAAATAGTGACGAGCGGGATGGGGAAGGAGGAGGAAGAGGTTGAGGAGGATGAGAAGGACGGCAGGGGAAAGAAGGAGAATGCGAGGAGGAACGCGAGGAGGGAGGGCGAGGACGGGGGAGTGACAGGGAGGATAAGGAGGGATGGCAATGCTGGGACGGAGAACATGAGGAAGGCTAAGGAGAGAGGACGATGGAAGGAAGGAAGATGAAGGGGGTGAAGGACAGGATGAGGAGAGGGAGTGTTCTAGCGGGGTCCTCTGCGGGCCAGCGCTCAGGCGCCCATCACGGCCGCCCCCCCCCCCATCCGCGGCCGCCCCCCCCCCCCCCCCCCTGCGGCGCAGATGCGGTCGTGGGGCGAGGGGGGGCTGCGGGAAGGGGGGGCGGGTGAGGAGATGAGGGGTCGATGACGGCCAACGCGAGAAATGGGTGAGGGCTAGCGGATGAGCGAGACAAAGTGGACGGGATCGGGAGGAGACAATAGAGGGACGAGGGGGATGGGGAGGAGGGAGCGACGTTGTTAGCAGAGGGTGGTCGTGGGCTGTGCGCGCGGGCTCCCCCGCCAGACGGCCTGGCGGTGCTTGCTGAGCGACTGCCCGCCGACGCTGTCGAAGCTCGTCATCGTTCCTGCGATGGCCAACGAGGACAACCAGCCCGTGGCCACCTGGGCGGACGGCGAGAAGTGGGCGATCCCTGACCGCATCCGCGGCCACGACCAGCGCATCCAGAAGAAGGGCGACGCCATCCTCTTCGAGCGCGCAGCGAGCGACACGGAGGTGAAGCTCTAGCTGCACATGGTGACGGACGGCGAGTCGAAGTTCCTGTCCATCTTCCACTGGCCCGCTGGCGAGAGGAAGCAGGTCGCGCAGCTCAAGCCACCGCTCAAGGCCTTGAGCAGCGCGGCGGAGTCCACGAAGATCATGGCGCGCAAATGCGCCAACAAAGAGATCGACAAGGCGCAGCTCGAGGTGGCCAAGAAGGAGTGGCTGGACGAGCTCAAGAAGGACGACCAGTCCGCCATGAAGCGGCCTGCCGCTGCCGCCGCGTCCTCCGTCAAACCGGCGCCCCCGCAGGCCGGCAGCGATTTGGGGGAGGTCGACGGGGCCGAGGCGGACGAGGCCAAGGGCGGCGACGCGGCGGGCTCGCAGCAGCCGTCGCCCAAGCGTCGCAGGAAGACTAAGTGCGCGCCTGCGACCGCCCCACAGCGCGCTGCGGCGAAGGAGGTGACCACGGGCGAGAAGGAGCCGATCGTGAAGCAGGGCGTCGGGGGTGGCAGCGACGGGGGAGTGACATCCGCGGCGTCGACGGCAGCCAGCGCCCCCGCGGCATTGCCATCAGCCAGCGCTCCTGCGGTGACCTTGCCCGCGGCGGCCCAGAGCGAGCCGCCGCCCACGGGGTGCATCTTCGACCGCGGCCACGGCGACCAGCCGACCCACGGCAACCCGATGAACTTCAAGCAGTACATCGCCGCGGCCGTGGCGAGCGCCGCGCACGCGCAGCACCAGCGCGTGCCCCCGCAGATGCGCGGCCCGCCGTGCACGTCCATCTTCGACCTCATCTTGTAAGCGGAGGTCGGGCTGAACTGCAGGCAGCCTGAGCTCTAGGGCGGTGCTGCGTAGGGGCAGCACCGCGAGCATGCGAGTCGAAATGTTCGGGGATTCTTCAGGGAAGTGTGAAACAAAAACGCGTTCTGCATCGGCGATGCATGCTCACTCGGCACTGGGCGCATCGGCGACGCATCGGATGTTAATGCGTAGTCCGATCTCTACGAGCGCTGGCCCCTGCGATGCGCCCCCCTCTCCCAGCCGCCCAACGCTTCCCCGCCCCTCCAGTTCGATCCAGAAACGACGAACAGGTCGGCCGTCAGCCCCAGGTCGGCCGTCAGTTCGGCGCCGCCTCCCAGGGGGGGAAAGCTCGTGCGGAAGGGAGAGGGGGCGCCGTTGTAAGCGCCGTGGGGTGCGGGGGACAGACGGCGAGGGCGGGAAAAGAGGGCGACGGGCGAGGCAGGGGGTGGCCAGTGTTTCGAGCCGCGAGCCGCGGCCAGCCGTGGCGACGGGGAAGGCCCCCGACGGCCAGGACGCATCCAAGCTCGGCCCTTGTCGAAAGCATGATTACCCAAAGCTGATGGCCCAGCCCTCCACGGACACAAACCATGAAAAACACACATTTCAGTTCGAAACCAAACGCGCGGGCCGTCCGTAGCACATGGCGTCGAGGAAAATTTACGGCATCGGCGGAGTGAGCACCGCCCTCCCACGGGACCCCTGGTTCACTCCGCTCGGCGCTGCACTCCTCCGCGGGGGCGCGGTGGCGACGCAGATCGAGCAGAGTCTGCGCGCCGAGGCCGAGGATTCGCTGGCGGAGCCGCAGACGATCCCGAGCACCCCGAATCGTGGCGGTGATGAGCGCGATATTCCAGCTGAGCACGAGAGCGCTGCAGAGAGCGTCGACACCTGCGGCTTTCCCCGCGATGAGGACCACTTCGTCGAGAGGTTCCCAGGGTTCGACGAGAGCCCCGCCCCCGCCTCGTCCCAGGCGATCCTCGATGACGCTGCCCCCAGTGGGGAGGATGGCGCCGACGGTGGCACGGGCGTCGCTGATAGCGTGGCCGCTGCGGGGCGCAGCGTCAGCGACGCCGAGGAGAGCAAGTCCCTCCACGACGCCCAGGAGTTGCGGGCACATGGGCATCCGCTCGCCACGTGGCAGGATCGAGGACCGTCGGGCATGATAAAGTGCGAATCGTCCTTTACTTTTCCTCCTCTCCTCCTCCACTCCTCGCCCCTGTCCCCCATCCTCGCCTTCCACTTCGGCGGCGCGCGACCTCGCCCAGTTTTTCCCGTGCCATTTCGTGGGCTGCTTCCCCCGATTAGGATGCGCGCTCGATGCGGCTTAGGCGAAGTCGAATCGAGCGCGCAGCTAGGTGGGGGGGCGGTGAACGAGACTGGCGGGGGTGCAGTCTCAGCCAGGACAACACGATGCGATGCGAGGAGGGGTGGGCGGCGGTCAAGCACCCGTCGAAGTGGACAGCGTGGAGGCACTACTTGAAGGGCAGGGCCCCCGAGGCGACATCGTCGTCGTCGTCGACGTCGTCGGCCTCCTCGCACCTCCGCCTTCTCCCACTTACGCATCCGTTCCCTCCTCCTCCACAGGGCTGGAGCGGCGACCCCGAGGGCTTCGACGACGAGGTGAGCAGGGCGATCAGGGAGAGCAGGGACCAGCTCGATATGGAGAACAAGGCGCTAGGCGTCCGTCGCCACCGTCGTCGTCGTCGTTGCCGCCGCCGCCGTCGTCGTCGTCGGCGGCGTCGTCGTCGTCGTCGTCGTCGTCGACGTCGTCGTTCTCGTCGTCGCCAACGGCGACGGCGACGGGCGAGATGTCGACGACGACGCCGACGGCGACGACGACGAGACGGCGGCGGCGGCGGCCGACGTCGGCCAGCGACGACGGACGATCGCCGAAGGGCAAGCGGAGCATTGCATGTGAGGTATGGGTTTTGTTTGTTCTGTTCTGAGTGGGGGTCTTCATTTTATTGTGCTTTCACTTTATCATCTTTATGTGTTTTTCTCGTTATAGTTGATCTTGTCTTGTGTTTATCTTTCTCTCATCAAAGCTTTTTATTTTGGTTTGTGGCTGTGTTGTTGGATGTTATGTCTTATTTTTAATGTTTATTTATTTTTTAATTGTGTTGTTTTTTTTTCGTTTGTTATTTTTTCTATTGATTCTGCTGGGCGTTCCCGACGGAGGACGTGGACTCGCGGCGAGCCGCCGCCGAGCGGGCCGCAGCGACTGCGGTGCCGACCGCGGCGGCTGCGCAGCGGGCGGGGCCGGACGGCGACGCGGGGCGCGGCGCAGCCGCGGCCGAGGTCGGGCCCGCCGACGAGCCGATACGGAAGAGGAGTCGCTGGGCCCGCGCGGCTGGTTCGGCGGCGGCGCGCGGACTGGCGGGCCCCGCCTTCGTCGACCAGCCCGCGACCTCCGCGCTCGCGCCCGCGGACTCCGCCGCTGGGCCCGCCGCGGAGCGCGCCTCGGAGGAATCGCCCCGCGCCGTGCTTGAGACGCCGCAGAAGCACAGGCGCGCAGGGGAGGGTCAAGAGGGGCTGACAGGAGGGAGGCAGACCAGATCAATGTTAGCGACCGTGTGGGGGGTGGAGAACGAGGGGGATGATGAGGACAACAGCGAAGGTGAGACGGGGATGACGTGGAAGAAGAGGGGTGAGGGTGGGAGGGGGAGGAGGGCAGGGCCAGGAGGGAGAGGGTTGGAGGTGGAGGGACATGGGCGGGGGGTGGAGAGGGTGACAGGAGCGGGACAATGGAGACGCATGGTGGGGTGGAAGGGAGGGAGGAGGAGGGGGATAGAGAAGATGGAACAGGACGACGGAGGGGGGCGATCGAGGGGGAGGTCGAAAGGGAGGAGTTTTCAGCCGCCCACCGTCGCGCCAGGCACCACGCCGCCGCGATCAAGGATATCCAGTCCGAGCTGCTGGCGTCGGTCGAGAAGATGGGCGGCGACCCGAAGGAGCTGGACGCGCAGAAGATGATCAATGCCATGGTGGCCGCCCCGTCCGTCCAGCACTTGCGCTCTCTCCAGAGGACGGCAGGCAAGCTGGTTGAGCCCGAGGCCGAGGATGAGGCTGGCGACGAGGATCCTGATACGTCGAAGAAGGACGAGGAGGAGAGGGCCTTTCGGGATACCATCAAAGCCAACGGGTGGACCGTCAACACGTCGGCCACGACAGGGAACCCCGCGGGCGGTCGCTGGCCCGAGCCATCGCGAAGACGGTCATCAAGGACGGCAAGAGGGTGCCCTGTCAGCTGGCGGCTGACTACAGAATGTGCTCGAGCGACGATGAGAGGGAGGAGTTCCGCAAAAAGTGGGCACAAGGCGAGTGGTCCAAGTACGAGCACGTCGCCGTCAAGAAGACGAGTTACACCACGAAGTTGCTGAAGCGGGCGAAGTGGATGCCGGTCGCCCGCGTGGCGTGGAAGGAGGGAGGAGGAGAGTCTTGGTGGTCGGCAGCGGTGAAGTACTTCAGCAAGTGCGTGAAGTTAGGATTCCCTTGGATCAAATGGCACGACATGACCGAGTGTTACCGCTGCCTGTGCGGGGAGGAGTGGATCGAGGACGAGTTCGCAGAGGCCTGGGAGACCCACGAGAGTTGGTTTCAGGAGACAGTCGTGACGGACGCAGCGAGGCAGAACCAGATCCAGGCGGTGGCCGAGTCGGCGGCGAATTTGCTCAACCAGGGCATGTTCTGGATTTCCAGCGCGAAGAGGTCGGCCGACGACGCGACCGTCGCCGAGGCGGCTCGGCCAACCGAGGTTCCGACTCTGCAGGCGGCGCCCACCGAGGATGTCATCCGCGAGCGGGAGCGCCTGCTTGAGGAGAAGAAGCTGGCGCAGCAGGAGGAGCGCAAGGCGGCGGCGGAGAAGGCCGAGGCGGGGCGCAACGCAAAGCAGGGGGGCAAGGCAAAGGCGGCGCGCAAGGCAGAGGTGGCGCGCAAGGCAGAGGCGGCGTGCCAGGCAGAGGCGGCGTGCCAGGCAGCTGCGCCGAAGGCTGAGGAGGAGCGCAAGGCCACTGAGGCTGCGGCAGCTGCGGCGGAGGCGCCCAAGACAGCTGAGGAAGCAGGAGGAGGCGGTCGCCAGTCCAAGCGCCGCGCGGCAAGCAGTGGAGCTGGAGGCAGCCACGGCGGCGACGCCGACGACTCCAACAAGGCCATGATGAAGGACGCGAGGACGCACTTCATGATGTGCAGCACGGCGGTCTCCACGGGCAGCGCGATCGTCAGCGCTGCCGCAGCCGACGAGAGTTGGGAGTTCGCGCTGGACCTCAAAGAGTTCGCCGAGCTGAAGCAGGCGCCTGGGTGGCAAGGAGGAGGTAGAGGGGGAAGGTGAAGAGGGCGAGGATGGGGTAGGAGGACGAAGAGGAGGCGGGGGACGGGAAGGGGGAGGAGGTGGATGAGGACTTGGGGGAGGGAGGGGGATGATAACGAGGAAGGGGGTGATGAGGAAGAGGAAGATGAGGAGACGGAGCGAGGATGAGTGAGAGGGTGTGGGGAGCAAGGATGAGGAGGAGGAGGATGGGGTGAGAAGGAAGAGCATGAGTTAGACCCCCGTCCTCCCCCCGTCGTCGTCGTCGTCGTCGTCCTCGTCCTCGTCCTCGTCCTCGCTCTCGTCCTCGTCCTCGTCCTCGTCCTCGTTCTCGTTCTCGTCGTCGTCGTCGTCGCCACCTCCGCAGCCGTCGCCATCGTAGTCGTCGTCGTCGTCGCCGCTAGGCGCTCGACAGCATCCAGCGCAGAGCGACGGAGAACGGCCGCTTGCAGCAGATCATGCACACAGAGCTCCCGAAGCTCAAGCGGTCGATGCAGCCCCGCGAATTCCAGGCAGGGATCGCCGACCTGTCGAAGTTGGTGCCGATGCTGAAGGAGCCGCGGCGCGGCACAGCGGGGCGAGGAGCGAGGAGGAGGGGGATAATGAAGAGGAGGAGGAGGAGCGAGGAGCGAGGAGCGAGGAGCAGCGATGAGGGGGCGCAGGAGGAGGAGGAGGAGGAGGAGGAGGAGGAGGAGGAGTGGGGAGTGAGGATGAGGAGGAGCCGCGAGGAGGAGGAGGATGAAGAGGTGGACCCTCGCCCTTCCCCTGTCGTCGTCGTCGTCGTCGTCGTCGCCGTCGTCGTCGTCGTCGTCGTCATCGTCGTCCTCGTCCTCGTCCTCGTCGTCGTCATCGTCCTCGTCGTCGTCGTGGTCGCCGCCGCCGCCGCCATCGTTATCGTCGTCGTCGTCGTCGTCGTCGTCGTTGTCGTCGTCGCAGTCGCATTCGCCGTCGCCGTCGTCGTCGTCGTGGTCGTGGTCGTGGTCGTCGTCGTTGTCGCGGTCGTGGTCGCGGTCGTCGTCGCCCTCGTCGCCCTCGTCGTGCCATCCGAGAGGACGTGCAGAAGTCGACGCGCATCCTCCTCGGCTACAAGAAGGTCCACGACGAGGCGACCGCGGCGTAGGGCGCCGTGGCCGCACGAGGAGGACGAGGATGAGACAGGGAGGCGATAGGGGGCGGGAGGGGGGAGGGGGCAAAATTGTGCCGGATCTCCGGTTGCCGGGCGTTTTCAACGCGACACAATGGTTTTGACCGTTTTGTAGCAGAACAGAGGTCCAGGAGTGAATTTAGATGCGATCTAGATGCATCTAATGGCGCATCTAAGCTACCGTCTAAATCACCCGTCTAATACCCGTCTAAGTGGCATCCCAAGTGTAAAAAAACCGGGAAACCTACCGTCTAACCTACCGTCTAACCTACCGTCTAACGGGCCTTTAGATGCGCCATAGACCCGTCTAAATCCCGTCTACATCGGCTTTCAGCTCAGTCTGTGCTGCGTTTGCACATTTGAAGGGTATCTCGATGGCGTGAGCACCATTTACGAGATCGGTGCACAATCTAGCGAGTGCGCCACCAGCACTCCAGTGCAATCTCATTCTCGCCCCCGCTCTCTCGCCGTCAATGCGCGCGAGAAAGAGGAGGAGGAGGAGGGGGAGGAGATGAGAGGAGTGAGGAGCGAGGGGGAGTGAGGAGCGAGAAGGAGGCTGAGCGAGGAGGAGGAGGAGGAGGAGGAGGAGGAGGAGGACCATCCCCACCCTCACCCTCGCCCCGTCACCGCCACTCACGTTCTCCATCACTCATGTCCAACTCCGACTCTCCACATCGTGCTGGGCTGCGCAAGCGCAGCAGGGGCGCCGCCTCGCGCTCGTGGCACTTCGCGGCGCGCCGCGGCCACGGCGCCTGGCGCAGTGATGTTGCACGGGCAAGGTATCATGATGCAGCAGCGATGGGGTCGATCGCATTGAAATCTCAATCAGCCCCCCCCCCCCCCCCCCCCCCCCCCCCCATAAACCTAAGCCATCTCCGCGTGCCTCCAGGGGGTAGATACCAGCGAGAGTAGGCGCGGGCACCGCCGTCGTCGCAGCTGTCCGCGCCCGAGCTGTTTCCCGAGGTGCCTCCGAAGAGGAGGAGTCGTAGTGCTGAGGCGAGGGGGGCGCGGCGATGGAATCCTGCGGGGCGTGCTGCGGAGCAACGGGAAGCTGGGGCAGATTTGACGGGGCTGCTGCTCACGTGGTACGCATCGTGCAAGATCGCTGCGCAAACAATTCTGCGTCGCGTGCTATTACTGTGAGAAGGCAGCCGTTAAGGGTTCGGCGTTCGAGATGTATGGTTCTGCGCCTGGTAAGCAGAGCGGGAGCTATCAGAAACACCTTGACACGGTACTTCCCCAACCAGCCCCCCTCTACGAGATAGCGACCCCCGCGAACCTCTATTACAGCCCCATCAGAACAACATCATACATACCGATGAGATACGCATGGCAGTGCATCGATGATGAGCTGAACAAAAACAGTGCGATTATCGAAACGCTCGAGGGGGATCCTGCTCAACGTGAAACATGTGTTCTCGATGCTCCTGCGTACAGAGATCACCCGCTGGTCCAGCAAGCAGTATCTCGTGGCGAACGCCCCCCCCCCCCCTCCCCGTCGGCGCGTACTTAGATGGGATTCGTTACATGTCGCAGGCAGCGGGTAGGAGTGACACGGTTCTGGGTATCTGGCTGATCAATCTTTTGAGTGGTAAGAGACATTTGATGTTTTCGTTGAGAAACTCGGATACGTGCTCTTGCGGCTGCCGCGGGTGGGACTCACTGTTTCCATTGTTGTCGGCCCTGTCGTGGATGCTTAAAGCTATGGCTCTGGGGGAGACGCCGCTGGAGCGACACGATGGGTCTTCTTGGGGGGAGGGTTCAGATTTCAAGCAACAACAGCGTTTGACCACGAAGTCGGTTCTGGTGTGGATAAAAGGTGATCTGATGGAGCATGCCAAATCAATAGGTCTTTCACCTTACTCGACTTATTATAATCCGTGTTCGTTCTGTGAGTGCGTGAGTTCCGAGTTGCATTCGTTCTACGACGATCTGGCGAACCCAGAGGGAGCCCCGTGGATATTGAGAGAGGAAGCCCAATACGAGGAGGTTTGCAAGTCCAGGGAGAAGGAGGTACAGGTCATTAGCGAGGCTGACAAGCAGACCTTGACCCAAGCTATGATGTGGTTGAAAGGGGGCAGAGGGAGGGGTCGCACAATTGTGCAGCGAGTAGTGATCAACGGGGCAATCCTGGAGGTAGAGGACAGGTTAGATCCATCCAGATACCTTCTCGACCCTGGCGAACTGTCCTCGATGCGGGTTCCGGCTACATTGGTTTTCTGGAGGCCCGCGCTCTCTGCATGCAACTTGCCGCTTGACAGCGTCGTCCACAGGATCAGCGTCTGCAACGTTCGGTTGCGTTGAGACGCCACGGGCGAGCTGGGGTGAGGACGCGGGAGAGAGGATGGGCGAGGGGCGGAGTAGAGGGAGAATCGTCTTCGTCCCGACGCGAGCCGAACCATGCAGACTCGGATCCAGGTGCCCACTGTTCGATATCGCAGTGCTCGGGGCGTCTCCGACGCGCGCGCTGGCGATCGACAGCTAGCACACGTTATATTTGGGCCCGTGCTTGCGATATGTTAGCGGTTCTCTTTGGAGGTGCGTCCTGTATAATCCGTGGGATGTGGTTGGCCCCGTAGATACAGTGATAAGTATTGGTTGTGTTCACATCAGCAGCGAACTCAAGTTATGGGCAACGGAAAACAAGGACACCATACAGTGCGACATGAAAACAATAACACCGAAAATGTTGGGGGATCGGAAACGTTTCGGCACGTGGGGAACGATGCCAACCCAGATCACGACGGGGGACACATGTCTCTGAAGGCAGCGGAAGCTGGCATGCTTGTTAGATTTTGCGTCGATTGGCTGATGCGAAACGGCGGCCCAGCTAGGTTTGGACTCCCGATTATCCAGGCAGGTCAATCGCCGCTTCGCTACATGATAGTGATGAAACAAATCAAGGTGTTACCCACAGACGCCCAGTACACTGAGATGATGCAGGCAGCACAGGTTCACCTACAGTCATGCAGAACATGTGGCATATTGTTCGTCCCGAAACATCACCTGTTCGCGCACTTGACAGTCAGGACAGGAGTTCGTGTTCTCTTTAACTCTCTGCCTCTCTCGTGCGCTACCCCCAATGCCTCTCCTTGCCCTTCTGCATCCCTGCACCCTACCCCTGTGCATATATCTATATGCACACGCCAACCCTCTCTCTGTGCGCATCTATATAGCACTCTCCCTCTCGCTCTCTTCCCCTCGCTCTCTTTCCCTTTCTCTCTCTCTATCTCTATCTGCTCCCCAGGGCAACCCATCCAGCGCCCCTCCACATCATCGTTTCTGGCCCCGCTCGGGCGCGATCCCCTGGCGCAGCCAGTCGAGCGGGCCTGGTTGCAGATGATGTCGACCAGCTCCGCCTGCGCGGGGGCGAGGACGGGCGTCCTGGAGCTGAGTTGACCTTCGCCGTCGCCACTGTCGAGAGAGGGGGTGATGGGGGCTATGCTGAGGTGGCAAGGCGATGGATAGCGATTCGCTTCGCGTTCGAACCGACATCGACGCGATTTCGACGCGTCGAAGGTGCGTCGACCGAGCGGCCCGAGCGGGGGGGGGGGAGGAGGGCAAGGTCATCGACGACGAGGACGTGGGCGGGTGGGTTCACAGGAGGACGAGGTGGAATGGGAGCCGGGTTGCTCATTATCCCAAGATGTGGCTGCGGCGGAGATCGACTCGGCGGTATTTACCTAACAGCGAAGACTGATAGGTTTCTAGTGGGATCAAAAGAGAGCAGCAGATCACTCCACAGGGGGGTCCGGGCAGGTGTTGGGAGTTGCCGGGCGGCAGGGGCCGGGCTCGTTTTTCACCAACAGTCACACATTTCGTGCTCTTCGACTTCCCAGAACTCCATTCCCAGGCCACATTCTCAATACCCGGATGCAACAGTCACACACTTCGGTGCTCTTCGAGATCCCAGAACGCCATTCCCGGGCCACATTTAGAATAACCGGATGTCAAGACATCCAAGAACGCCATTCAGGGCCACATTCTGGAGGGCCGTATGCAACAGCACACACACGTGCTCTTCGAGTTCCCAGAATTCCATTCCCGGGCCACATTTTGGATGCCCGGAGCCAACTGTAGGCCACTTCGTGCTCTTCGAGTTCCCAGAACTCCATTCCCGGGCCACATTTTGAATGCCCGGAGCCAACTGTAGGCCACTTCGTGCTCTTCGAGTTCCCAGAACTCCATTCCCGGGCCACATTTTGAATGCCCGTAGCCAACTGTAGGCAACTTCGTGCTCTTCGACTTCCCAGAACTCCCATTCCTGGGCCACATTTTCAGCAGGGGCAAGAGCACGACGAGGAGGAGGACGAGCAAGACCAGGAGGACGAGGACGAGCAGGAGCAGGACGAGGACAGGAGAGGAGCAGGGAGAAGAAGGACGAGCAGGAGGAGGAGGAGGACGAGCAGGAGGAGGAGGACGACCAGGAGGAGGAGGACGACCAGGGAAGAGGAGGAGGAGGAGGATTGGAGGGGAGGGGGGGAGGAGTACCAGGAGGAGGAGGCGGAGGGAGGAGGAGGAGGAGGAGGAGGAGGAGGAGGAAGAGGAGGAGGAGGAGGGGAGGAGAGGCCGAGGAGGAGGAGGAGGAGGGAGGGGGGGAGAGACCAGGAGGAGGAGAACGAGGACCACCAGGAGGAGGAGGAGGAGGAGGAGGAGGAGGAGGAGGAGGAGGAGGAGGAACACCAGGAGGAGGAGGACGAGCAAGACGAGGAGGACGAGAACGAGGACGACCAGGAAGAGGAGGAGAGGAGGAGGAGGAGGGGAGGGGGAGGACTACCAGGAGGAGGAGGAGGAGGAGGAGGAGGAGGAGGAGGAGAGGAGGAGGAGGACGAGGAGGAGGAGGAGGAGGAGGACGAGGAGGAGGAGGGGGGGGGAGAGCACCAGGAGGAGGAGAACGAGGACCACCAGGAGGAGGAGGAGGAGGAGGAGGAGGAGGAGGAGGAGGAGGAGAGAGCACCAGGAGGAGGAGGACGAGCAAGACGAGGAGGACGAGAACGAGGACGAGCAGGAGGAAGAGGAGGAGGAGGAGGAGGAGGAGAGGAGGAGCAGGAGAAAGAGGAGGAGGAGGAGGAGGAGGCAGGCTGAGGCTGAGGCTGTGACTGCGACTGCCGTTGCCGCTGCGACTGTCATCGCGAATGCGACTACGACTGCGAGAACAGCAGAATTCGACAACTGGATTTACATCTGAATCTTAAGGGGAATGTTTTCAGATATGCTTCTACACATCGCTGTTAGGTTGCTTTGCCGGGATAATTTTATGTGAACGTGCCGAATCTTCGTGAGGATCCGCGTTCACGGTTCACCGCTCAACTACAACAATTTCCTAGATGAAACATTGGGAGTGCTCTTGCGGGATATCGCTGTGTACGCACATCGGACATCATACAACCGTCGTGCTTTCGCGTTGCTCGAGCTGCAAGGGCGATTGGAGACTAACGTGCACATGGCAGTGACAGGTGACTCGACCTACGTTATTTCAGGTATATGGTGTTTCGCTTCGCCCTGGTTGTCCTAGCATGTGCGTGCTGCTGCTCGGGGATGCAGCTGTTTAGTTCGATTTCGGAGGCAGGGAAGACCTATGCGATCGAACGTGGCGATGAGCTGAAGCAGCAGGGTGCCCCAGTCAGTCTCGCGTTGGCCAGCAGCGCAGTTGCGCTACAGATCCTTACCAGAGAGGTGGAACGCATGTCTCCCGCGGTCGTCAGAGATCTCGCGACGTTCGAAATGTTCAGTGGCAAGGGCGGGTTGTCGTACCAAGTGCACTCGCGGGGATACAAGGTTGCAAGTTTTTTGAACGTAAGGATCACCCCCAATACATGGATGCTTGTACTCTGCACGGCGCTCTATATGCCGTGCACTGCTTGCTCAGCGTTGTACCCTCTGGCTCGGCCCACTTCGCGCCGCAATGTTCGACGTGGTGGGTCGGGGCTCGTGGCCGCACGCACCGTGATCCTGCTACCGACATCTTCGGCACCTTCGACCGCGCAGACGTGTCCGAAGCCAATTGGATATTGCTGCTGACGTGGGGAGGGCGGGGCGCTTTCCCAGCAGCGCAGTCCCATGTCAGCTACGCAGCGCAGACATTCCTCCTCCCTCCCACGTCCTCCTCTCGTGTCCTCCCTCATCATGTCGTTCCCCGCATCACTCGTTCTCGTCCCCTCCCTTCTTCGTCGCTCCTCCCTCCTCCAGTTCACTACATTCCCCTCGTCCCAACAATGTCATTGCATTGCGTTGTACGCGTGGTATCCGATTACACTCACATGAAATTTAGATGCGTCTTAGACGCGCCTAAACGTCGTCTGGCCGCATTGCAACCCTTGTAGTTCCAACGAAGCTACTCCACCTCCCTGACTTCACTTTGCCAGCAGCGGTTGTCGTTGCCACCGCATTCGTGTGTTCAGTCATTCACAGGCAGTTGTCTCGTGGTCGTCGCCGCCCGCCGCGCGCAGAGTTCTAGTTCGGTCGATTCCTCCAGATTGCCGCGTGCATATCCCCACTATCCCACTCACTGCTCCGCATCTCCCTTTGCTGTTCCCCCTCCGTTCCCATGGCGGCCTCAGCATCCCATCGACGCTCGCTGACAGGCCCCCCATGGCCATCTCGGCGCCTTGCAAGGGACGGGCGGCTGGGGGCAGAGGGACATGGGAGGTGCTACCTGATGACCGTCGCCTGCACTCGCAATGTCTTTGTCAGCTTGGAGCAGCCGCGCGCTTCTATGCTAGTGGTCACTCCACAATTTAAGTATGTCATCGGGCTGTCTAGCGCAACGTGTCGAACTGTTTTTCTAAGTGGTTTCGGTGCACCTTCCCCGGAACCAATTCAGGTCTGGTCCACGGGGCCAGGATTGAGCGCTACCGCGCGGTCTAAGAAGGCCTCGGATAAGCGCCTCGGGACCAATAAAATTCAACTCGCAGTCGACCAGCCTCGTCGCTCGGCGAAGGCGAACCCCGCTGGCAATCGCTCTGGCTGGAAAGCAGGCAAGTGGATAAGCGGGAAAAAGTCACGCCAGGGCCCGAGCGAGAATTACCCGCTTGAGTTTTGCTACGCACTGGCGTCGTGCATCGTAGATCGGTTGTCGGATAGCTCCAAGCTCGCCTGCGTGGTCGAGCAGATTTAAGGCGCAGTGCCTCTGCCGACGAAGGATTAGAGAATATGTCATATGGAAGGTGGCGGGAGGAGGAGGAGGAAGAGGATAATGAGTGGGAATATGGGGATGAGGAGGAGGATGAGGACAATGAGGGATACTGAGGACGACGGAACGGAATCGGGGGCATCGGTAATGGCGATGAGGAGGAGGAGGAGGAGGAGGAGGATGATAAGGAGGACCAGGAGAGGGACAGTGCTTGCGAGAAAGAACATGAGCCCGCTAGATGTGGGAGCGCTGACGAGGATGCACGCGTTGGGGAATGAGGATGCCGCGGAGGAGGTGGGGGAGGGAGAACCGAAACGGCGCGGGGGGGGCACCTCGCGGGATGGCGGCTTGTATTTCGACGCAGCACCGACGCGTCGAATGGGCGTCATAATCGGGGGATGCTGAGGAGGGAATGTGGGAAGCACAACGGTGAGATAACGATCCACATATAGAGAGATATGCGCTTCTAGAATGCGGAGCCGCCCCTTGATCCTTGGTTGTTTGAAGTGCCACCTGTGTGCAAACACGCGCGGTATTCGTGCCTACTGTCATGCAACTCGCTGCTGGCGAACGTATGACTCGCCAGAGCCTTGCGGTGCGATCTTCGCCCCTGTGCGTCTACGCTGTCCTGGGATGTATTGCGTCGTTTTTGCGGCACTGTTGGGTCGCATTGGCGATGCATCGCGTGATTGGACCCCCCATCGCGCATTGCTGGTGCATCGGCGGTGTGCGCACGCATCGAGAAAGGCGCTGCTGTGGGGCTGGCGTGGAGCGCAAAGGAAGATGATCAGGGGACGGAGGTCAGCGAGACGAGGATGAGCGGCGGCGAGAGAGGGATAGAGAGAGAGAGAGAGAGAGAGAGAGAGAGAGAGAGAGAGAGAGAGAGAGGATGCATCGGTCACCTCCCAGCTCGGCTGCAGCCGCGCCATCGCGCGTCGGTGCGAAGCTTCCGCTCGGCCCCGCCCGCCGCCCGCGCGCGGGCACGCGGCATGATGCCGACATGGGGGTGGCGCGTGCCCGCCTTAGCGTTGGCCGGCCTGCTCGGCCCTGGCCCCACGGCAGGTCCCCGTCTTGCCTGGGCATCCGGGAATTCGTCGGCTTGCTCCGGCATCCGACGGCGGCCCGTGCGCGTTGGTTTGCTCCGGCATCCAGCGCCGTCGGCTTGCTCCGGCATCCGACGCGGCCGGCTTGCTCCGGCATCCGGCTGGCGGGCCCTGCGGCGCAGCCCCGGCTTGCTCCGGCATCCCGGCCACGCGCTTGGCGCGGCTTGCTCCGGCATCCGCGCGGCCGGCTTCCGCTCGCATCCGGCTTCGTCGGCTTGCTCCGGCATCCGACGGCGGCCCGTGCGCGTTGGCTTGCTCCGGCATCCAGCGCCGTCGGCTTGCTCCGGCATCCGACGCGGCCGGCTTGCTCCGGCATTTGGTTGGCGGGCCCTGCGGCGCAGCCCTGGCTTGCTCCGGCATCCGGGCCGCCGCATGCGTGAAGGCCAGGACTTGCTCCGGCATCCCGGCCACGCGCTTGGCGCGGCTTGCTCCGGCATCCTCGCGGCCGGCTTCCGCTCGCATCCGGCTTCGTCGGCTTGCTCCGGCATCCGACGGCGGCCCGTGCGCGTTGGTTTGCTCCGGCATCCAGCGCCGTCGGCTTGCTCCGGCATCCGACGCGGCCGGCTTGCTCCGGCATCCGGCTGGCGGGCCCTGCGGCGCAGCCCCGGCTTGCTCCGGCATCCGGGCCGCCGCGCGCGCGCAGGCCGCAGCCCCGGCTTGCTCTGGCATCCGGGCCGCCGCATGCGCGCAGGCCCGGGTTTGCTCGGCATCCCGGCCTCGCGCAGGGTTGGCCCTGGCATGCCCCAGCATCCAGCGGCCGGCCTAGGTTCGCAGCTCTACGGTTCGCACGTCGCCCAGAAGACGTCGGTCGCGCAGCAGCCAGGGCGTGCGGCGCGGCGAAGCGACGCCCAGGGACGCGCTCTGCTGGCAGGCGTCGCCTTGCCGCCGTTGCGCGGGGACGCGCCGGGTAGGGCGGCCCGCGGGCGTGGCTCCATGCCGGACCTCAGCACCCGTGCTCTGCGTCGCCAGGCTCTCGAGCGCCTGGAGGCGGACGTGTACTCGGCGTCGGCGGGCAAGGTCGTCGAGGCGCGCCTGAGAACCGTGGCGACGCTGTTTCGGGCCTGGGGCGAGGAGCCGCTGCCGCCCACCGCCGCAAAGATGCGTCATCTCTGCGCTGGCCTTAAGGCGGGCGGGTACCGTAGCGCGGAAACGTATGTCTCTGCTTACCGCCTGCTCGCGGAACGCCCGGGCTACTCGCTGACCGACGACGTCGCGCGCACTGCCAAGGACGGCGCGCGCTCGCGTCAACGGGGCATGGGCGCCCCCGTGAAAGCACGGGCACTGCCGTTCGCACAGTTGGGCTCGCTCCCTGGCGGGCCAGAGCCGTGGGCGGCGGGGGGCCCCATAGGCCCCCGGAACGCGATCGTCGCCGGCGCCTGGTGGATGGTGCGGGAGGTCGAGCTGCCCACTACCAGGGCTCGCCTCGTCGAGCTCACGCGCGGTGATCGCCCCACAGTCACGCGGCACCTGCCTGCCTCCAAGACGGACGCCGCGGCGCTGGGCGTGGCGCGGACGCACGGCTGCATGTGCGGCGCGGGCCAACCGCGGCCGCAGTGCCCAGTGCACGCCGTTTGGGCCAGCTCATCTTGTTGCAGAAGAGGTTCCCCGAGGGCTGGCACGACGGCGCCCCAGAGGACGACCTCCCATTGTTCCCTTCGGAAGGCGGGGGCGCTGTTAGCAAGGCTACGATGACGGCGACCATCCTCCGCGCGGCAGCCTTCCTGGGCGCGCCGCCGGTCGCGCCCGACGGCTCCGAGCGCGTCGGAGAGCCGCGCGTCGCTTCGCCGGGAGCTTCTCGACGCAGCCGCGCGCCATTCGGCGGCGGTGCAGCAAAGAGCGGCTACCGCTGCTCCGGAGGGCCAAACGCGCGTGTTGAATCGCGAGTCTGGGGTGCTGCATGGGGTGTTCATTGGGCCACCCGTTCTCCCGGCCGCCGCATGGACGGCGCGTTGCGGCTGGAAGTTCGGCTTGGCCCCGCATGCGATCGCCCCGGCTGCCCACGAGGCCACCTGCCAGAAGTGCTTCAAGGGTGCCGCTGGCGTGCCTGCCAGCGGAGGCGAACATGGGGGTCTCCGTCGCACGGCCGGAGCGCCCCGCTCGTCGCACGCCCGTCGCTGAAGGCATTCGGAACACAACAGCACCCACACAAGCGTTGGGCGGGGGGCGCCATTGCCGCGCGCATTAGATATAGTGCAAAGGGCAAGTGAGGCGCCTTGGGCTGGGCGAGCGCGAGTCAAGGCACTCGTGGCCATTTTGGCTCAGCTCGAGCGCTCGTTGCGCCAACCGCCCACCCACCCTGCAGTATCGATCCTGCTATCGCTCTGGGCGCGGGTAGGGGTCTCCGTCACAGGGCCTGAGCGCCCCGCTCGTAGCACGCCCGTCGCTGAAGGCATTCGGAATACAACAGCACCCACACAAGCGTTGGGCGGGGGGCGCCGTTGCCGTATTACTTAGCGCCCCCCCCCCGGAGGCCAAAATGGGGCCAAAAATATAGTAAATTCAATGATTGGGGCTTCCTCGCCGAGGCCGTTTTGGCATTCTCGCCGAGGCCTTTTGGACCATCTTGGGTGCCTCTTGGGGGTCTCTTGGGGCCTCTTGGGGGTCTCTTGGGGGCCTCTTGGGTGCCTCTTGGGGGCCTCTTGGGGCCATCTTGGGGCCATTTCGGGACTTCTTGGGACCTCCTTGGCGCTTCTTGGGGCCATCTTGAAGGAGATCGATCCAACAAGAGGGGGGTATTAACTAGCGTCCCCCCCCAGGAGGCCAGGTGATTTGGGCTTCCACGCCGAGGCTGTTTTGGCATTCTCGCCGAGGCCTCTCGGAGCATCTTGTGTGCCTCTGGGGGTCTCTTGGGGCCCCTTGGGGGTCTTTTGGGGACCTCCCGGGAGCCTCTTGGGGGCCTCTTGGGTCCATCTTGGGGCCATCTTGGGACCTCTTTGGGCCTCCTGGGCGCTTCTTGGGGCCATTTTGGAGGAGATCTATCAAAGAAGTGCGGAGCATTAATTCGCCGAGCCCCCCCAGGAGGCCAAAAGGGGGCCAAGACCATAGTAAAACCAATGATTTTGGCTTCCTCGCCGAGGCCGTTTTGGACGCTCTGACACCTCGCGGCCCCCCCCTCCAGGTCCACGGGGAGGGGGTAGGGGGAGGGGTAAACCCCTCCCCGAAGGGGAAGAAGGAGGGGTGGAAGAGGAAACGCTCTAAACCACCGACGCCCAGAGGGCTGGTGGGATTAATGATGTGTGCCTCCCGAGGCCCTCTTGGGACGGCTCTTGGGACGCCACGACGGCCTCGTGGGCCGTCTTGAAACCATCTTGGACCGTCCTGGAGCGCTTCGCGGCCATCTTAGCGGCCTTGGTGGCCTACTTGGGCCGTCTCAGAAGCCATCTTGGGCTTCATGGAGGCCTTGGAGAGCGCCAGGGAGGTGTGAGGCAACTCGAGGAGCCTTGGGGGGAGGAGGCGGTTCATGCAAGGAAGCGCCTCCCGAGGGGTGGGGGCCCTTAGAAAATTAGAGGAGCCCGACCAGTCAGACCTTGGCATTCTTTCACGCCTCAACGTGCACAAGGCACGCTGGTTGATGAAAAACGTGTGGGAGCCCCCGGGGGCACTGGACAGGGTGGATCAACAATCATTAATTTTGACGAATGGACAGTTAACAAAGAGATGATGGAAAAAGGAGGTAGCGGAGGAGAGGGAGGAGGAAAACGAGGAGGAGCAGGTGGCGAGGGCCCAGTCTTGTAAATGATTTGCCTTGCATATTTCCGCCGCAGAGTCAGGCTCGCGAAAAACGATATCCATACATTTCAACGTGGGCTCCAGGGTGATCCTCCTTTCGAAGAAGAGCCCTCCCCCCACCCGTGTTACTGTTGCACCGTATTAGTTTTGTGGTCATGAATTTCGAAGAAATCTCAAGCGACAACTCCATGTTCAGAAAGATCTGTCATGCATCCGCGCAGCGCTACATGCGTTGAAGTACGTGAGAACTGCATGGTAGAAATGTGCAGTCGTCCATCCTGCTCAAGTCGCATTGCAAGCGAATGCGCGCCAAGCTGAAGGAAGAACCCCGTTTGTGAACATGACACGTGCTCAACCATTGACAACAATTGCAACACTTGGAGACGAATGTCGGCGGCGCCAAGGCGAGAGCACCTTTTTTGAGAAGGGACCGCCCTCCGTCCGTGAAGCTATTTCAATATGCCAGCGCGAATGCGCGCGGCGCTAATGCGAGAGCCCCATTTTGAAAACGACCCGCCCTTGCATCCGTGAAAGCAGCTGAAACATGTTACGGCGATTCTGCGCGACGCGAAGGCGAAAGCCACATTTTGAAAAGTGTCCCCCTTCATCTTTGACGCTGCTGCAAAGTCTCAAGACGAATATGCGCAGCGCGATCGCGAGAGCCGCATTCTCAAAACTGCTGCCCTCCATTCCTGACACTGCTGTGTGTGTGGCACTAAGGCGAGAGCCACAGTCTGAAAACTGCCTCCCCTCCACCAGTGAACCAGCCACAAACGTTCAAGACGAGTGCGCACGGCGCGAAGGCGAAAGCCCCACTTTGAAGAAAAGGAACCGCCCTCCATCAGTGAAAGGGCTGCGATTTGTTTAAGGCTATTCTGCACGGCGCGAAGGCGAAAACCACATACTGAACATTCCCCCCCTCCATCCCTGACACTGTTGCAACAGTTTGAGACGAACGCGCGCTACGCTAAGGCGAGAGTCTATTCTGCAAACCACTTGCTATACATCCGTGAAATTGCTGCAACACATCAAGACGAATGAGCGCGCTGCTACGGCGAGCGCTCAATGTTGAACACCACCTGCGCTCTATCCGTGAAGTTGTTGCTAACTGCATGTTTCAGGGTCATACATGGTGAGGAAGTCTCAGGCGAAGCGCCCAGCCCGCCCTGCTGACACGTCTGAGGGTACGACAGGGAGGACTTCTTCATGAGGAAGACGGAGGAGGAGGGGGGGGAGGAGGAGGAGGAGGAGGAACAAGAAAACGAGAAGGAGGAGAAGGAGGACGAGGAGCATCAGCAGAAGGAGGAGGCAGAGGAGGATAACGAAGACAAGGAGTCGGAGGAGAGGAAAACAGCAGGGCGAGGAGGAGGGAGGATGAGGACCTTGGAGGGGCGACCAGGTTCCCCGGCCGAAGCGCCCGCGACATCTTCAGGCGGAGAAGAAGCTGCAGCCCACGGGCTGCAAGGCGTCCATGGCCGTGGAGTCCAACGTCGAGGACGCTCCCGTGCCTTTGGCACCTCTCTTTCTGTCAGCGGTGCGCACAATCGGAGGAGGGCCAGGCTCGAGGATCGAGGCGCCCCTCCAGGCCTCTCTCAGAGGAGGGCCGGTCGCTCTCCCCAGCGTTTTTCGCCCTCTTTGAGGCCTCTTGGAGGCTTCTCGTCGCCACGGCCGGATCCGCCTCGAAAAACGGGTCTGGATGGGCCCTCTGGAAGGCTCCGGGAGCTGACCCTGGGCAGGGTTCGGCTGGGCGGGAGCCTCGCCATTGCCTGCACTGGCCCCCCTGCGAGGTTGGCGGCGCGCGCAGTGGCGAGGCGCGAGGGGGACCGCCTCCTCAGAACGCGGGGAGGGGGGGAGTCCTAGCATCAGGCGATCGCAAACATGGGTCAGGGGGGCGTGGATTCGCGACGGGTCCCGTGTCTTTGGGAAATGGCGGATTTCCGCCGCCGAGCGAGGCGGCACCGGCAGTCTTTTGGGGAGGGCACCTCCCCCGATCCATGGATTTGCAGACCGCGCGCCAAATCCATGGATCGCTAGTCCATGGTTGCGCGCCCCCGATTCCTGGAAGCCTCCAGGCCCTGCCGACAAAGCCCCTGCCTTCCAAGGAGCCCCCCGCCTTCTCAGGAGGCTGCCCGCCCCGTGCCACCCCCCCCGTGCGCGCTGCCGACCCTCGCCCTCCCGGGGAGGTGCGAAGTCGTGCTCGACGTCTGGAGGCCCGCTTCGGGCTCGGGGGCCGTCAGAGTTGGATTTAGGGTGAGAAGCCGCCCATGCTGCACCTCGTGATGGTCGGGGCTCAAGCGACGGGAGTCAATGCAAACGGGGGTCAGCCAGGGCACCGGATCCTGCAGGATCCTGCGAAGACCCCCTTTGGCTGACCCGGGTTTGCGAGCCGCTCGTGGCCGCGAGGCGGCCGCGCATATTGACTGAGCTGGATTTGCGAAGTCCTGCGTTGCAGCTTTTTTTCCTGCATTGCAGTTGTTGGTTTCCTGCTGACCCGGGTCTGATTGACCCGGGTAAGGAGATCCCCGAGATGTGGCTGGAGACTGGTTTTGAGCAGACTTGAGTCGGGGGACGTTCCTGCTGCGGCTCCTCCTCCTCTCGGGAGGAACGAAACGGGTACGGACAGTGGGTACTGCACGAAGGGTAACAGCAAAACCTGTACTGTACTGAACAGGATTCGCTGTCGGTCTCGCCGCGGACGTTGCCCATTTGACACAGAAGGCCGCCTGCCCAACAGCGGCGGCCGCTGTCGGTTTTGGACAACACGTGTTGTTGTTGTGCATCTTACCCGGACCCTTTCCTTTTCCGCGCCGAGGCCGAAAACCTCAGGCAGGGCGCCCTTGACAGGAGGAACGGGAAGGCGTCCGCCCAGAGCTTGGAAAGCTCGGTCGAGGGTACGCAGGGGTCAGGGAGCGAACCCAGCTTGAGACTGCTGTTATGAAGGCCTCACGGCCAGTACCGACCCTGAAGGCGGGACCTCCCCTGGGACCCCCGTTGGCGCTGCCCCCCCCCTTCCGGACCCACCCGGAACCCGGTGGGGCTGGGGGGGGCAGCATGCTGACCCGGGACCTCCCCCCCCCGCCACAGGCGGGACCTCCCTCGGGACCCCCGCTGCCGACCCTCCCCAGAGGGGGCGATCCCCTCGTCCCCTTGTCCAAAGAAGGTCGAGGCTGATATTTCTCTCCTCCAGGGCAGTCCGAAGCGATTGTCCTCCGACCCCACCTCTGCCCCTAATGACCCCACCTTGACGCCCCCTTATCTCGGCAAAATCTAACTGACTTTTTCAGTTTTGGTTCGTAGCACATTAGAAATACGATGGCCTCGGCTGACGGTGGCACTCCCCAGACAGCAGACCCCCATCGCGCCGCGTGAAAATCGCGACGGGCGGTTTGGGCCGTCTTTGGCCTACGGAACCATTTCCTGTTGCTTCGGGGGCCGTCGAAAACGATGCGGGATGAAAAGCCTGATCCTGGAGACGGGTCCAGGTCCAGACTTCTGGGGGGCCCGCTCTGGATCCTCCGTCCTTCCCCTCCCACCACTCCTCCCTGTAGAGGGCCCTGCTGGTGGAGCAGCCAGCGCGAGGACTTGGTGTGGCCTCGTCGCGCGAGGAGGGGGCAGCGAGGGGCCGCGCGCGCGCTGCTCTCGGTCAGTCTGGTCACCGCTGGAGGGCCCCCCTCTCTTTCAGCTGTCTGCCGCTGCCGCCTCCCGCCCTCCGATGTCCTCGTCGTCGTCCTCTCCGTCGTCGTCGTCCCTCCTCGCCATCGCCCTCCTCGTCTTTCTCCTCCTCATCCTTCCACACACCCTTCGCGTCCTCTTCCTCCTCGCCCATGCCCCCCTCGCCACCGTCGTCGTCGTCCTCCTCCTCCATGCCATTTCCTTATACATAGCACCTCCCTGTCGCACCCCGAGGCCAGACGGAAGGACGGGCCGGGCGCTTCGCCTGAGAGTGTTTCAGAAACATGGCAAGAGTTGTACAGATGGAGGGCGGTTACTTTTCCAAATGATGCTCTCGCCCTAGCGCCGTGCACATTCGCTTCAAGCATGAGCAACGGTTCCACGGAATGTTCTGGCGAACGTATCAAAAATGGTGCTTGGGAAGGAATCTTGGATTGTTAGGGCGCAACATTTACATTGAGATTCTTCAGGCTTACGCCACATCCGCCGACCCCTTGTTTTTTCTCTTCGGGGGGCGAAGTTCGGGTTTCGGGGGGGGTCTTTTGGAAGCTGTGTGTGGCGGCCTGAGGGCATCATGACGCACAACGTCCCGCGAGACGCCAATAAAGGCACCCTGAAGCGCAAGGCATGCAAATGATGTCGAATCGGGCACGCGTACTGGTGAGAAAAAAGGAGGACGGAGACAGGATAATGGAGATGAGGCGGAGGATAGGGGGAGGCGAATCATCGAATATGACGAGGTGAAGCGGACCAGGAACAAGAGGAGGGCGACGAGGAGGAGGGGAACGTGGAGAGGGTGGAGGAGGACGAGGAGGAGGGGGACATTGATATGAGGCTCTGAGTTATGGTCTATGGGTGAGAAATTATTGTATGTGTATAGCGATTTCGCGGCACGCCTTTCGGGGACCTCTGGAAAACAGTTTTGAAGCCACCGGGGGGCCGAGGTGGACAAGGACGGTGAGGAGGAGGAGGAGGAGGAGGAGGAGGAGGAGGAGGGGGACACGGAGGAAATGAAGGACGGGGGGAAAAGAATCGACGAGGATGAGGATGAGGCGAGGGAGGAAGAGGAAGAATGGGCGAGGGGCTTCTCGCGGGACTTTTGGAGGCAGTTTCGAAGCCTCTTGGGGGCAGTTTTTGGACCGTTTGGGGCCCTCTTGGGGCCTTTTGGGGCTTCTTGGAGGCGTCTTGGGGGCCTCCTGGGGCATCTTGGGGCCTTCTGGGGCCGTCTTGGGGCGGAAGGCTCGGATTGTCTGTTCAAGCTCCCCCTCTTGGGCCCCTCGTGGGGCCGTCTTGGGGCCCTCTTGGGCAGTCTTGGGGGCCTATTGGGCCGTCTTGGCGCCCTCTGGAGCCGACTCGGGCGCCTCTTGGGGGCCTCTTGGGCCGTCTTGGGGCGGTCTTGGGGTGCTCTTGGACGGTCTTCACCGCCGTGAAGGCCGACAAGTCGTACATTATCAAAATGTACGTTTTCCCATAGGAATTCCACAACTTTCAGCTCGTAGGCCCTTCTGAGGACTGCTCTTGGAGGCCGCTTGGGCCGTCTTGGAGGTCTCTTGGCTCGTCATGGGACCATCTTGGGCGTCTTGGAGCGCTCGTGTGGCGTCTCGGGGCCCTCGTGGGCCGTCTTGGAGGCGTCTTGGGACCTTCTTTGCCCGTCTTGAGCTCCTTTTGGGCCCAAAAGAGCCAGTGATGAGTCGCTCGTCCCGGGCCCGGGGGGGGGTCAAATCGCCGGTTTGGGGCCCCTGGGGGGTGACTTTTGGGGGGGGGGAACTATCTCACACGCCTAGAGACCCACAAGGGGTCGGCGGATTCGCGGTGCGGAAGTCCCAGGAACGGTGTTCTGCCACGATTCAGGGTCGTGATTTCACAACTACACAACAGCGCCGTGAAAGTCCCGAGAATGGTTCTGTGGCACGCTTCAGGATCTTCAAGCGGTTGTCTCCCAACTCAGTGGAAATTCATTTTTGTACGGGGCCTAAGGAGTGGGAGCTTGGAGGAAGGGTTTATCCCAATATCGTTGATGAGTCGTGGGTTTACCCTGGTCCTCCTCTTCCTCCTCCTCCTCCTCCTCCTCCTCCTCCTCCTCCTCTTCTCCTCGACTCCCGCCTGCAGCCGTATCTTTTCTTATCGAGTTTCCCCCCTCCCGTGCGCAATTGCGGGCAAGCCGCTGAAACAACGACCACTTCGGGCTCGGAAGGGGCTCTGGTGTCCTGTCCATTCCTTTGAGTTCATGCAGTGGGGCCGATTCGCTGCCGAGGCCCGCCATTACCAGACAAGCCCATCCGACCCTTCTGTTGCGGCCCTTAACTTATGGTAGCACCGGTGGCTGTAACTCCCTCCTCTTCCGCTTGGCCCGCATGGCGCCAACGTTCGGCCCCCAGGGCCTGCGTCGGGACCTGATGCCAACAGCAGTGGAAGCGTGCGAGCACGGTCAGTGCGCAGGTCCTCGCCGAAGGAGGAGGAGGAGGAGGAGGAGGAGGAGGACGAGGACGAGGACAATGAGGACGAGGAGGACGAGGGTGGAGGCAGGAGGGAGAGAGGAGAAAAAATTAGCCTGGCGAAGGACCCAACCATATGCAGTTGTGAATGCCGCAATTGTGCTGGGTGGTGGCGGACGCATGCGGGCGGTGCCACTGGGACCTTCGGTGGAGCTCCCTATGGGGCCACGAAACGCTGTACTGGATGGGTGAGACGCGGTCAGCAAGGGCTGTGCTGCGTGGTGGCGGACGCATGCGAGCGGTGCCACTGGGACCTTCGGTGGAGCTCCCTATGGGGCCACGAAACGCTGTACTGGGTGGGTGAAACGCAGGCAGGGAGCAAGGGCTGCGC